GGTGGCCTACCAGATGGGATCATTTCTGAGAACAAAACACTGCAGTCATGGAGCAGAAAGTCCCTGGGAAGTGCTTGCTCTCTTCACAAATTGCAAAAAGACAACCAAGATTCCGAAGCTTTGCTCTCTGTCAGGTGGTGTGACTTCTCAAGGATCCCAGTAGAGTTAGTTGAGTAAAATAGATTTGCAGTTTTCTAGATGGAGTGTAAAAATGTAAAAATATTTTACGTTTATTTTTCCTGATGCATAAATTACATTCAGTACAATCAGACAAAGATGAATACTGGTCTTTGGTTACTGATTGATCTTTAATTACCCAACATGCAGTTCTCTTCCATGGTCTGTTTTTCCACTTATGTTAGCAGACAGCCCCTTTCTAAGCCTCTCCTAGCAAATACTGAGTCTTTCTAATCTTCCTGATTCTATTGGTAATTTAGTTTGCTTTGTCACACTTGCTGCCCTGATTTGGCTTTCATTTTGTAGTTAATGTCTCAGCAATTCCCTTTAATATTAGATATCAGAATGATCTTTGAGTCATAGTGTTGAACTGTACCAATACAATGCAAATTCTGGTCAAAACTGAAATGTGTGATGGTGAAATATTCTGCAAGATACTCAGATAACACTGTTGTCAATGGCAAGGAAGTAAACCCATTCAAAATATCAAGTGTATACAGTTGTTGGCATTCCTTGAGGGTTTTTGTGTTGGAATTTTGGGGTGGGGTTTTGTTTTGGTTTGGTTTTTTTCATTTTCATTTTGTGCTGGAAATGTCTTCATTTTTTGTTTGATCTCCTGTGGTGATGCTTCAGTGGAGAATAAAGGAAACCATATGAAACACTAAGTGGAGTTAAGTGGTTAAATGCTTTGCAGTTTTTCTGAAAAAATAAATAACTTCTATATGGATTAATTACTCTTTTGTTGAGTTTCAGCCTAATGTAATCCTAATCCCTAAAGGCATTCAGCTCTGGAAAGGGTCCTTTATAATAATAACAATGACAAACTAAAAAATAATTTTCCAGTTTACTGTATTATTCCACTTAATTACCATGACAAAAAAAAAAGGAAACTACTAATGTAAGCAGACATAGAGATGCACTAGATACCTTCAAAGTGATGTATAGTAGTTGTGCTCCCCAAATTCAATTATCTGTAGGGAGTATCCATGCATAAATTGAGGCGCCTGTGCTTGTCTCTGATAATTTAGCTGCAATCTGATGCAAGAATAATGATTTTATTTTCTTTTTTGGCTCCTTGTTTCCTCTAAAGTGTTCGCTGTCCCCATAGGAGCCTTTTCTCTTTACAAACTGAACAGTTATTTGATCGTTGACATTGCCACTGATTTGTGGCATAACAGGATGGGTAAGTATATTGGCAGAGAGCCTCATTTACCTACTGATAGGCAACAAACCCTTTATCGCTTTTCTTTTTTATGATTTTTCATCTCTTCTCTTTTATACCTCAGTGAGCTCCTATTAGCAATTGACCTGCAATGTGGAAGTGCAGGTGCGTTTCATAATGGCTTTAGGCAAACAAAAGGTTCATCGGTACACGCAAGAGCGAATCAATTTTTCCGTTCTCTGCGAGAATAAAATAGCCGGTTTGAGGCGTCTCAATTTGAGCATTCCCAAAATCCGCACAGCACAGCGTAATTGCCCGCGAAGACTTGTCCTAATTGGCAGCTTAAGGAAAGAGACACAGACAGCTCTTACCGCTTTCCGCTTGGAAAGTTCTCCAGAGACTGTTGAAACAATTAATAGACATTTCTGTCTTTCTGCCTAAGGAGCATGACTGGAAAACACAGATGAAATGATAGCAAATCACACATTGAGGAGTCTGTGAACTTCTCCCAAAGCGGATGGAGGACGTTCTCTGCAAAGAGAGAGCTGGGGGTAGGGGGAGGAATGTGCAGGAGAGAGGAAAGGATTCATCCATACTTTTCTCTCTCCCTCCCATTGTTTTATGCATGTGTGTGCATATGTGCATCTGTAAAACATTTTATCTGGATTTTTCTCCTATGAAAACTTTGGAGCTATATTTTTTACTATTGTCATCGAATTAATTGGTTCATTATGGATGATGAAGGCTTGCAAGTTATTTATTCTGTGAGGAGGTTTATATTTTCTCTTTTTTCATACGGAGTTATTTCAGTGTTTCTCCTACAACGTCTTCTGCTCTCTCTAGGGTGAAAAAAGACATTTCTTAATTAGTTTCTTTTGGACTTTTGTTTTGGAATGGATGATGAAAATACTACAACCCAAGAAGTCTATTGTGAAAGTCTTGTGTTTTCCCTTGGTAACTGACTAAAAAAAAATCAAAGGAAAAACTGTTTACTGAGGTTTTAATAAGGAGGTTTTTATAATATATTGAATAATCCATAAGATCATTTTAGATTCTCTCTGGTATTTAAGAAACAAAAGATTGTTTAAAAAAAACAAACACCCCCACTGATTCCTCATATAACCCATACTGGAGGCAATACATCTGTGACGTCCTTTTGCAATGAACAGCAGCATCTTTCATAGAGTGTCTGCTAGCGTGAACTCTCACCTCCACCAGACAGTCTCACTCCTTTCTCAAAATAGTCTCCTTGCTACCATGGACTCGCACCCTGGCAGTCACCTTGTAATCACAGCAGACACAGGGGAGGCCTCCCCTGGGAGAGGTGGAGAAAATACAGCGATGGGAGTTCTTAAGTGCAAAGAGCTATTGCTTGTGGTGCTCCCAGCTGCAGATGAGAGTGTGTTTAACTGACAGGTTAATACATGTTTATTAAAACAGGAAGCTTAGAAAGATTAATTTAGTGTTTTTATAGCATCCTTTATATTTAATATCTCATTAAAATCAAGGTATAGGAAAGAAATTGTTATTCATCAGATACTTTCAATTAAACTCACTGATCCTTAAGATGTGTTTTAGTTTTTTATCTGATGATCATCCTATACACTGGTTCTAGAAAAGAGACTGGAGGTGAGAGCATAGCATAAGATCAGTCAAGAATCCTGCTACCACTTCTCTCACCTAAGAGCTTTTTTCTTTCCCACAGAACATGATGGCACGTTTACGTTTTGGCCATATTACATTACTGTGCTCAATGATGCAGAGAACCCCATGTCCCATTTACCTGACTTGAAACCTTACCATAACCATTATCACTTTCATCTACAGCAAAGTCCAGCCCACTGGCTTTTGTTATGCATACTTACTACAGAGGAGAAATAATAATATAATAGTCTTTAAATGCTGGTTTCTTTTCTTTTTTCCCAAATTCCTCTGAATGACATCACCTGGAATGAGTTTGCACTCCAGATATTGCAACATTGCAGGCCTTGTCCGTCTCTGTATCTGCTGTTCTTATCATAAAATATACCTGGCTTTTGCTATTCAGGGTACCCGTCTATAATATAAACAGATACTAGCTTTTAAAGTGAGCACTTCAACTATGGTAAGTAAAGGCTATATGCAGAGCATGGTCTGCTGATAGTGAGTGTACTTACCTTTTTCTAATGCTTTATTTCATGGAATTTGTTTCTACTCTTTATGGAGGAACGCTACTGTAATGGAACTTCTTTAAGGTGTGTTCTAACTGTTCTTTAAGGAAGGTTTCTCAAAAGAGAAGGGTCATCATGATCTGAAAACCCTAAGGCTTGTCATCCTACATTTCTAAAATATTTGAAATATTTCAAAGGCTAAGGGCTTCCTGAACTTCGTCTTCACCTTCCAGGTATGACGGCAGGATAAGAATTGTTGCTGTAGCACTGAAAGGAGGAAGAAGCTGTGCTTTAATAAATTCCTTTCAACTGTCAGTGCAAGGAGCATGGATATGAACTTTATGAAAACTCTATAGAAGAGCTCAGGATGTGGGAAGGAATACATGCCTAGTAGATAGATGGCTTGTTTTGAAAAGCGCTCTGCTGAGAAGTCCTACATATTCTGCAGGTGTCCAGACATCTCAAATTTGGCAAAACCCATGCATTTTAAAACCACAAGGTCACAGTTTTGGTCTTGTTTACATTTTTTCCAACTTCTGGAGCTAGCATTCTAATGATAAAAAGAATAGACTAGGTAATCTTTTTTCCCTTCAGGTGCTAGAAAACCCAGGTTGTGGAGCATTGGACTGCTCTCCTAGTCATGGCACACAGCACAGATCCCATCCATGGAGAGGTTCACTGGCATGATAGTCTTTAGAGCTCTTAGAGGATTTTCTTAGAAGTAAACAACTCTGTTCATCGTTTCTACCATCAGACAAAAAGGACATTCACATGAACATGCTGATTCACTTTGCGATAAAGACAAGGCACAGCAGTGGTGTCATGACCAGCTGCCAAGTGGGAGGTGCCTACAGGCCTCTCTGATACGATAATCTGCTAAGTTTATCCTGCAGCAATGCATTACATGCGGTACAGCACAGCACAGGCCTGTGCCTCCCTCAGGTCAAATCTTGCATGAATCTCTAACTTCCTGATGTACAATAGTCTTCCAGTTAGGACCACTACAGGAGCCAAAAACAGGTGTAAAGTTGTCCTCGTTTTTTCCTTCTGAATAGGTTGACGATCACAAGAGAAATTATAACAGCATTTTCATGTTCATATTCATAAGAACTATTCAGTAATAGTAGTTACAAAGAAATAACAATGTACTTGAACGTCTTTTGTAATACATTTTTTGCAGTATAAATGTTGTTTTAGCAGTCAACAGGCATCATTAGATGTGCCTAGGAAATGCTGATGCAAAGCAAGGGATCTGCAGACTTGAGCTTTAAAAATGTAACCAGGTGTGCTAGGAGTAAAGTCAATTTGTCATTTAATTTCTCTGCCACCATGAAAAATTAGTGCAGATTTCCAAATCAAGTGGTTGCTTAGCATCATAAATGCAATTATTTCCCCTCTTTTGAGTTTGCATCCACATGTTTCTGTTATCCCTTACTCTGTATCTGTTATAAACTCAGATTTCTTGCTTTCTCTAGTGGATTTCCCACTTTCTTCTTCATGTGTCTTTACAGTGGTCAGTTTATATCCGCGCTGCTGTCCGCAAAGAAAAAGGATTGCCAATCCTGGTGGAACTGCTTCGAATAGACAATGACCGGGTGGTATGTGCAGTTGCTACAGCTTTACGAAACATGGCCTTAGATGTCAGAAATAAGGAGTTAATAGGTATGTTTTTTCCAAACAATCTATATGTTCTGTGGATTTGGGGTTTTTTTACAGTTTGCAGCAGAATGAGCACAATGAAAACTAAGAATTATTCTCACATTTCTAGCACAGTTTCTCTTAATTTTTTCTCTAATGTGTCATATTCACATTTTAAGTGACAGTTTAGTGCTATATTGCAAGGGATTGTTAAATTAATTAAACATCATGCAATGTTTTATGATCTGTCATATTGTAATCTCCAGAAGAAAAGCAATGGCTTTGTTCTGCTTTAGTAGTTCATTCCTAGGCTGGCAGTAGCACTTGCATCTTCCAAATCAAGTTCCTAAGGAGAGCAGCCATTCCTGATCCTCGGATAACCTATTGCAAGTAATTTTGGGGTCATGAAGTGACAAATCATAAAGATTTTAAGATGATTCCAGGAATTTACGGGGCAGATTAGTAGCTCCAGCAAGAGAACTGGGAGATGCTTGATTCACAAACATATGCAGTTAAGGAAGAAGACAATAATTTACATAAATCATTGTTGCCCCTGAAGTCGGATGGTATGGTAATCAAACATCTTGTGGTTTGGGTCCTTTTTATTTTTTTTATTTATTTATTTACTTTCTTATTTATTTTTGCTGTGCTTTTTCATCGAAACACTGTGGATCATTGAACTTTTATTTTCATGTTCTGTCTTTGAAAAATAATCACTTCCTTGGTTTTGAACTATTTCACCAGCCATGATAAAATTATTTCTGCTTCTTCTGTACATTAGGAGCATGCTTTTATTAATTTAAAAAAAACTTGTTCTTTTATTATAATCATAGCATAATTCTCTGCACATAATCATGGCATAATAACTCTGCTTTTAATGGCAGAATTCCACGAATGGTTACTTTGATCATAATGTTTTATTATTTGTATCCACTGCTATCTCAGGGTTAGTGCTTCATTAAGGCAGTGCTCTGCAATTTGTTAAACAAGGTAATCACTCCCCTCACATATTGTATGAACTAGAGAGTCTTCAATGACAAAATGTTGTAAAGTAAATAGAGATAGAGGTTGGTGACTAATGTAAACTTGCTGTGATTGAACTCAAGAGTGGTGCTTTACCTGTAAGACCAGCCTGCTTCTTCAGCTTTTGCTTATGTTGTAGTTGATTAAACTGGCATGAAATTAGATTTGGTTTTTGTACTGTGTTCAGCTTTCAGGAAGCAAGATGCTGCGTATGTGCTTTTAGTGGGTGTTTTAGTATTTTTATTCTATATCCTCTTATCCATACTTACTGACATTACAAAAAACTCTTTACAGTTGAATTTACTAAGTATGAACATGGTATGTAATGCCATGAATTAGACTATATATAGTTACCTTTTCTGTGTACTGAGTATTATTTTTGAATTTAAAGTTTTATTTCCTTCCAAAATTTGTAAATTTCATTTAGGAAAGTATGGCTAAACATGTGAAAATGGAGCTGTCTTAATGCAATGTGCCATTCAAAATATTTGGTAAATTATGGATAATAAGTTTGCACAACCTTCACATTTTAGTATTTTATGAAATTCTTGGAGAACATGTAATATAAACAAAGAATAATTTTAAAAAGGTAGACCTGATAAATTTATTTATGTAGCCATCCTGTAACAGCTGTGCAGTGCTGCTCAGATTTAAGTCATTTGTGAGGTGATTCTGGGGAATTGTACTTTATAACTGTACTGCAAGTCTGCTGCAGTTTAAAAAAAGTCCAAACATGCCAATATGACAGGAACATTATGACTATAGCTGCTGAACAATTTCAGCTGTGATCTTTACACATTCTTTCTTTGGCTTTCATCACTGGACTTCAAAGAAACAGTAATAGCAGTCATTATTTCTTTTTCCTCAATATTTTTTAGCAAATAGGGTGTATCACAGAGCTGATTTTCAGAAATGCTAAACACCTGGAGTCGTCAAGGGTTTCAACTCATATTGTAGGCAGTCCATTTTTGTGAATATTACATTTCCGTGTGTTCTAAGATACTTTAGTTGTTGTTACGGAAAGGAGGACTCAAAAGGGGCTTCTTGAGGTTAGTCACACAAGCATCTTTCTGCCAAAGCAGAATCAACATCCTTTTTATCTTTCCTCTTTACGGTTTCTGTTTGTACATCCTATTCTTGCAGTGACAAACTCTGCCTCATGAACTGGAATTTCCTTCTTAAGGTAAACTTTTTAAAAGGTGACTTGAACTGTATAAGGAATAAAATTATATAACTAGAATTGATTTTATTTTTTTAAGACGTCTGTAAAGCTTTCTTTTCAGTGATGGTGTGATTCCATTCCCAGCTGACAAATTTTTACTGAAATGTGCCAGGGAATGAAATATTTCTTTCTGCCGCTGCCAAGCAGCCCATAAATCAGTGTTAAGACATCTGGCAAATATATCAGAAAACTTGCTAAAATCCAGACTCACCTGTACTGCACTACAAAACAAACAAAAAGACCCTTTTTTAAAATGACCAGAAGTTTCTTTCTAGACTTCATCAAATTGACCAATCTGTTTTGGTTTTCACACAGATCTATCAAGTGTGGTATTATGTTGCTAAAGGCTGGTGCCAGGCTTCTCTTATAATTTATCAGAGCCGTCCTCATAACAGCATTTTCTGAGGTCTTCTTCCTGGATTTACTTTCAAGCATACTCCGTGTCCTTAATATAACCCTCTTTTTTCTTCTTCTCCATCACTTTTGTATTGTGCCATATGTCTCTAGGCCAATACAGTGAGCATATTCATCTTTCTCCTTCCCAAAATTAAGCGACACTCAAAGACATAGTAAACATGGACTACTTAGTACTGGCACTAGGTAGTCCAGCACCTATTTTTCTGTCCTTAGGCATACTGTCCACTTGTCTTCCTGGTCACCTTCAGACCACATTCATTTTCCACTGGACTTTCAGGACCTTCGGCTGCATGAAATAGTACCTACTCTCTGTTGCTTCCCATGAGTGCACCCCATGGGAAGGTTTAGCAGCCTTTCCTCTCTCCCTGCAGTAGTGCCACAGTTGAGGGAAAAGACCCACTACTGATGTTGCCTGTTTTGTTGTTCTTGGGTTTCAGCAGTCTAGGCTGCACAACGCCTCTGTGTCCCTCTGGTGCCCCAGCATCTTCCTGCTTCTTTTTGCATGCTCCATAAAGCATTTTGGGAGGCTTGGCTTCCTTCCTTTTCTACCAAGTGTGCTTATTTTCCTTTCTCGAATCGGGTTCTGTCTCTGCTAAGCTCCTCTGTAGGGCTCCCTCTCACCCCTCTAGAGGCCTCTGAGTTGGCCAAAAATCACAGGTTTTTGCCTTTGATCATTCACTTCAATAGAAAGATGCACTTCTGTCTCACAGCTCCTCCAAGGGCTTTGTCAATGACCTCTGTGCTGTTACATCACCCCCATGTTTCTTGTGTCTTCCTTTCTCTTTCTCTCTCTCTCTCATTCAAAAAAGAAAAGGGCTGTGTCCCTCTGCGCTGTACAGGTGCCTTAATTTGAGGACATGGTGTTATTCTTCTTCCCCCAGGAATCTCATTTTGAGGACTACCTGCAGACCTGCTGCTTCTGGCAGTGCCACAGCAGGTTGCCAGTCAGGCCAGCGCCTCAGAGCAGAGCTGTCTCATTGCCCGCTCTGCAGCGAGCACTATTACAGACTTTTATTCTCTAAAGCCACGCCTTGTTGGAATGATGTAAAAAAAATTACTAACTTAGAATATGATCTTTTTCTTTAAATGTAGGAAACTTGTATCAGCTGGGCAGGGCAGAAAGACTTAAAAATAAATCCATGCATCTTATCAGGATGAATTGTGTCCTTGCAGTCTGCTCCAACAACCTTCAGTGGCTTTCTGATTCAAACATCTTCCATGCAGTCCTCTGGGCTTCTAGGAAACTTTCCGTGGATCATCTCAGCCTGCACTGTAGACTTGTGTCCTACTTTAGACAAACTCTTTTTTCCTCCCTGGGTCTCCTAGCCAGCACGAGTGCACCAGCCTCCCTCCTCGCTATTCCGTCTCCCCACTCTGGATGCGAGCAAGCTTTCCAGATGGAGATTCCCCATTCGATCTTGGGGAACGAGCCAGCTTCATCCTTCTTGTGCCTGAAACACAGCCAGCAGTTTTCCTTTCAGCTGCCATCCATGACCTCTTTATCAAAAGAGAATACGAAATGTACAGTTAATTGAAAACTCTGTGACTTGTTACTCTGCCTACACCAGCAGGTGCTGACTGACCCTGTCAGCGAAATTTTTAAGGGAAATTTTTCTTTTTTCTGTCCCCAAAATTTGCATTTGCATTGCTCCTGTTAGATGCACTGCATTTACCTTTGATTTTAAATAACGATTGTGGCATTTTAAAGTGCAGTAGGTAGTCTTTCAGAAGAGTTAAGCTGACTTTTCAAGCTGCCCCAGATTATAAATTTGTTACTATTCATGTACAGCAGAATATGTACAATATAGGATTTGCCCTCTTGAAGTACAATTTGGAGTTTGTATTAGTATTGCATTTCATACCATTTACTGATAAGTCCACAGGGTATGGGCTTTGGAGTAAATTCAGAGCTGGAGGTAAAATGCATAAAATTTCAACGCACAGTTTTTTTGCTTAAGTTTTCACTTATCCTGACAGTGGTTTCTAGTGCTATTCTGGGTCAAGGTTGATTGGGAGAAGTATTGTACTAGTAATTCAAGAGCACCATTATTTCTCTTGGCCTCTTGGCCTGTCCTTTTGTGGTTAAATAAAAGATGTTTTTAGAGTCTGGATGTATTTTGATTGCTCGCTCTTGAAACAAAGGAGGAAAATTCCACCTAAATGTTTTCATTGACTTCTTGTCTTGTGTAGAAGGTATGATATTCTGTATCTTTTCCCTTAAAATGTGTTGAGAATCCATGTGTCTGTTCAGGGCCCTAGATTCTAGGGAGTTTGGTGGGATAAATTGAAGTGTTGCAATACTTAGAGATCTTTTTTGTGGCTTTCACTGTAAAAGCATGATTCAGGTAAGTGAAGTTCGTGG